ACGAACTCCTGAAACCATCCCCACGCCTTTCGGCATCTCTCGATCAATCCCGGCTGCGGCGTCCTTGGCACGTCCTCTGTTAGCGCCAGATCGATGAGGTCAAGGACCGGCAAAATGCCCATTGCCACCTCCTGGCACCGGTTTTCCCAAGTGTCACGATCCTTGATGATCTCTTGGCACTGCACTTTCCAGCCGTCACAGTCTTTTATCATGGCCTCTAGATGCTTCTTCGCATTGATTTTTAAAACTACAAGCCATACATGCTGTTCAGACGCTGTATTATGCCAAACTACGGTAGGCAACCAAAATAAGCAAAGGGGTTTGGAAAACTTACTTTTTAGCTCCTCTGTCATCTTGGTCGTGTGGTCCCGGAGCTGCGACTGGATGTGCGCCAGTTTTCTGTTGTCCTCTTTCAGGCGATCACACTCCACGACCGCACGACTGTTCTCCTCTCGGAGACGGGCCACTTCGGCTTCTAAGCCTGCACTACAGCTGTTACTACCAACAACGCAACAATTGTCAGTATTCATTGTGATAAAGTGGCTACTTAGTTGTTCTTTCCTGCTCTTTATTGCTGAGCTGAACGACCAGTTTCTGGTTCTGGGACTCTTGCTCCGTCTTCTCATGGTTGGCGGTTTCAAGTCGCTGGTGCAAGTGTTCCACCTCCGCCGTCAGCTCCTTGTTGCTTGCAGTGATCCCTTCGATCTGGTCAAAGCATTTCTTGCGGTACCTTGCGGTCTTCATTAAGTCCTGTGTGCAGATAGCTAAGTAAGATAGCTTGACTAAGACAGCAAGATCAGGTGGTGAAGCTAAGCCTACCTGGACCTCCGTCACCAGCCGTTTCGCCGCCCGTTCAACTTTCTTGGTCTCTTCGACCTCTGGGATTTCCTCGTGAACAACCCATTGGTCGTTCCGCCAACATGACACATACACATGTTGTCGCTTGTACTGTGGACGGCCCAGGACCTCCTCCACTTCGTCCTCTTCGGGCTCTTCTTCGGGTCTCGGTGCTGGTCCGGAGTTAGCAGCTTCTGCGATCACTATGGCTTTCCCATGTGCTGCAGCATCGACAAACGTGCTCTGTGCTCTCACCTCCGGCCGCTGCTCCTCGGTCTGTTCCATTACCCTTGATGCTGAGGTGTTGCCTCGGTAGGTTCAGCGCTCGGAGCACTCGTGCTTGGCTCGGCTCTTCCCTCGACCTCCTGCTCGGGGACTGTTGTCTGACTGTTTGTTTGCTGAGGCCCCGACGGATCTTCTGCTATGGGTTCCTCGATGGCCGGCTGCTGGGCAGTCTGTTCTGAACTTACTGGCAGAGCCATGCTGCTCCCAGCTAGCTGGTCTGGACTTTTGGTGGACGCTGAACTAGTACATACGAGATAAATTCATAAGGCAATCATATTCAATGCAAATTGCTAGCTTACATCAAGGTCACAAATACTTACATGTTGGAAGCGCGGAATGACGTGGCGAAGGAGCGTCTCTTCGGCCGTGCTTGCTCCATGTGCTGTGCGGGTGACTCCTGGTCTCCCTCTACATCCAGCACTGTCGCTGGGCCTTGGTCCTCGACCCCTCCGCTGCTCGTCCTTCACGTTGCAGTGGTCGGCGATGTAGGTCGCACCGGCACGGAGGAGCCACCTTGCTCCATCGACTCCAGTTGCCTTCTCCCCTTTTGAGGGATGAGTCAAAAGGTGCCTACATCCTCTCCCTCCTCTACGTCATCGTTCGACAAAGTAAAAATCGCCTGACGACGCTTGCTGGCTGCCGGCTGCTTACCAGCAGCTTTGGCTGTTGCCTCCTCTCCAGCTCCGAGCACCGCCCAGTCAACGTCCTTGATCCCGACGCTTGTCTGGGTGGCTGGGACAGCTCCTTGTGGCCAATCTACTCCAGGGGGTGGCGACACAAACATTGTCGCTCTATCCCAACCATTAATCTAGGAAACAAATGGGAGTGAACACAGTAAGTTTCTACCACAATATGAGACTACGGGTACAAGGCAAGATGAGTTACCTTTAGGGAAGGTTGGGCGAGCTTGAAAGCATGCTCAATGTCCCTCAATCTGACTTAATTTGGATCAGCTAAGTTAAATAGCTCTCCAATTCTGGCTCTGACTTCGCTTTTGTCAAGCGCCCCCTGCCTTGTCCTCGTCGGGTCCGTGCTACCTTGATACTCGTAGCCAGGATGTACCCTCCTCTGGCAGGGCTAGATCCACCGGCTGATGAAGCTCCCGACCACGCTCAGGCCATCCAGTTTTTTCCATGGGATCATCCCAAATATTTCTGGAATTTGTTCCAGGTGCTCAGGTTTCTCTGACTAGCTTGTCTTCTTCTCTAGAATGTACCCTACGTCGCACAGTGTGATCGTGTTCGGCTCTTCATGGATGTAGAACCATTTCTTGTACCAGTCGTCAAGCGACGTGTTCCATGGGCAGTGCAGGTACTGGGCTTTCATGCCGTCATAGAGGTTAAGGTACACACCTCCGGCTATTTTTGAGCCGTCGCTTCCTTTCTTCCGCAGACAGAAAAGATGGCAGAAAAAATCGAAATGGGGCTGGAAGCCGCCATATGCTTCGCAAAGATGAATGAAAGTGGCGACAAGAAGGATCGAGTTAGGATGCAGATTACAAATCCCAATCTCGTAGTAAAGACAGAGTCACTGAAGAAAAGGATGTACCGAAACCCAAATCCCCGTTTGAAGAAGTCTTCGAACACCACGATCTCACCTGGTTGTGGATCAGGGTACCCCTCGCCCTCCGGCGCACGCCATCCTGCGAGCTCCTTGTCATGGAGTACCCCCAGGGTGACGAGGTCTTCAATGATCTGCTCGTTGCTTCTCAATTTCCACCACTCCTTCGCCATGACTCCTGCTTTCTTCTGCACGTCACTTTTCGCCATGAATTTAGCCTTGTTGATGAACGAGGAACTGGCGGAGGATTGATTGGTAGTGATTTCGGAGGTATTAGGGTTGGCAAGAGGAAGAAGATGGCTGCGGCTGTGAATGGCAATGGGGTTCAGTAAAAAAATAACTTACCTATCCTATACTATTTTTAACCCAAGAGTTATGCTGTTTCGTCTGCCCGAGATTCTTGGGAGACGTGCGCACGCGCCGCAGACGGTTGTTTTCATAGCCTCGAGATCTATGCCAATATATGCGCCTCTTCGTCGCCAGTGTATGTGCCTCTTCGTTGCCAGTGTGAGAGGGCCCACGTTGACGCACCTATTTACAGGTGCTACGCGACTGTTTGCTTGAAAAGACAAGAAGGCAGTATGACGTGCTATACCCGTCTACTTTTTTGACCAGACATGTCAGATTGGACTTGACAGGGCAAGTAATTAAATAAATACAAAAGATAATAGTACAAGTGGCATATGGTTTTTCGCCGTACTTCTCGTGCTCAGGGACTGTCCAGACCACCGTTGTGTTCGGGGACTGTACAGACCACTATCGTGCACGGGGACTGTCCAGACCACCGTCGTGCTCAGGGACTGTCCAGACCACCATCGTGCTCGGGGATTGTCCCGATCACTCTCATGCTCGGGGACTGTCCCGACCACTCTTCGAACATTGCTCGGAGACAGCTCTCCTCGGCTACATGTGATTTATACTCACATACAGTTGAGAGGCGTTTATTTAGACCTTGCTACAAGGCTGCTACCTCGCCTTCCAGCAAGCTCGGGGACTATATCGGTACGATGCACCTGTCGGTGCATCTCGTATTGCTTGTACAACGATTGAATTCTCAACTTTAGTGGAAATTCTTTTTAGACCCTGGCACCACATGCCTGTGTCACCTACTACCAGGCTCGGGGACTAAGTGGGCACACTTCACCTTACGGTGAATGTGCTTATTTTATCGACCCCTATGCTCTGATTGTGGGCCAGATTACTATTGTCCAAGGGTCACTCACATTTCTTTTCAGAAATACAAGTGGGCACATTTGATAAGGAAAGAAATCTTTTTCTTTTTTCTTTAGAGCACCATGCATTCTTCGGACAACCGGAATCTTCGGCTATAATTGTGGTCTACAGCTTTCTGTTCTGACCAGAATACTGGTACATTCGCTTGGTTAATGTTTTAACCAGTTGGAGATGACATGAAGACGGATCGCATTAGCCGAAGGAGATCGAACGGCGTGTCACAGCATAATACATGATGCTTGGGGACTTGCTGTGGGGGTATTAACCCCTATACCCTTACGGCTAGGCTTGGGCCGGCCCGGACCAAGGGGTCTGGCCCGCTAGAAGACGACGCGCGGCCCGGCCAATCTGTTCGGAGTCTCACACAAGGAATCAAGGCAGATTTGGAGATCAAGCAAGACGCTGGTCGGTTAGAATAGGAATCCTTATTCGGCCACCTATAACAATTGTAACTGGTTAGGATTAGTTTCTAGATCTGTAACCCTACCCCCAGACTATATAAAGCGGGTAGGGGACCCTCTAAAAAACATCTCTCATTGACATACAACGATACAATCAGACGCATGACGTAGGTATTACGCCATCTCGACGGCCGAACCTGGATAAAACCTCATGTCTGTCTTGCGTCACCATCTTGTTTGTAACTTGCGCATTTGTCTGCCGATAATCTACTACCTTGGACATACCTCTAGATAGACTACTGACCATATTTCGTCGACAGACCTTGTGACACGCTGTCAGATATTTTGATTGGGGTCAAAATTACCTTCCGTCGAATCTCTCCCGTGCGTGTGCGTCTCCCGTCCTCTCTCCTGTGCGTGAGTGTCCCAGGCTCGAACCCTAGACCAATCCGGCGGCGGGCTGATTCCTGGCGGTGGCCGGCCGTCGGCGGCAAGATGGTAGGAGATCCGGCGGGGGAGGATGTGGATCTGGCCGGTGGCTCCCTCGGGCGGGGTGTGGCGGCGGCGGCGAGCCCCCCTGGGTGAGGCACGAAGGCTGCGGGCGTGAGCCCCGTCGGCCGGCGCGCGCTCCCCACAACGAGCTCGACCGGCGGGATCGGATCTCGACCGTCGTCGCCCCGCGAGATGAGCCACGACGACCCCGGCAGCTCCTCCGCCGACATCGGCGCGGGCGTGGACGCGCTGTCGCTGGACCTGCTCACGCATGCGCTAGCGGGCGGGCGCGACCCGCGTGACCGCAAGTCCTACCGCCTCGCCAGCCGCGCCTTTGCGCGAGCCGAGGCCTATCCCACTTGGTCGCCGCTGAGGACAAGGAGATGGCCGCCCTCGCCGCTCCCGCGGGGCTCAGGGAGCTCGTCATGGACAAGTGCCTCGGAGCATAGCAAGCTCGCTCGCTCCCATATACAGCGGGGAGACGTGAGGGACTCCAGCGAAGTGGAGCAAGAAGAGTGTGGGCGACAGGGGGGAAAGACCGAGGGAGCACCGCTGCACCATGCGCCCTTCTCTCTGTAAGTGATCCTCTCCCCCTCGATTCGTCGACCCATCCTGATTTCTGAAGGCTCGGCGCTCGGCGCTTGGCGCAGTGCCCAAATTTCAGCAGTTCATTCTGCGTCCTTGTTTTTATCCGTGCGTGATCGCCTTATAATTGTAAGGCGGGGGCTGCATCTGCATTTGCGCTGAGCTAACTATGGAATGGCCTGGCAGTTTATGAATGATCTGGCATGGTTTTTGTTGGTTCGTGATACGAAAATAAGGCAGTGAAGGGTACTTTTGCAGGGTGCGAGTGTGATGTGGAATGAGCTTGCTCTGAATTGCCTATTTGTTGCTATTGCGGTCTGTATCTGGTATGCCTTTCTGAGGTGGATATGTCTGGATGAATGGGTATAGCGTGAATGTAGCACCTTCTAGGTTGTTTAATAAGGAAATTGCTGGGTTGGTTGTGCTAATTAGATCATAATACTACCTAGTTTCACACTACTGATGAACATATACTCTGGTGTGTTCAGACTTGTTCAGTTGTTCTGATTTCATATCCTGCATATGTAGAGATCCGAGAGATGAATTGGCATGTTCCATTTTGAATCAATACTCCAACGATATTTGAAGACTTGATCTTGAAAGTGGTAACTTGTGACCCCTAGTAAAATGTGGATGGAGGAGCTTGACAGATACAAAAAGAAAGAAAACTCCAAAATTAATGGAGGGGAGAGGATTTTTTTTCTTTCTTTTTGAACTGCAAAGGAATCTTACATTGACTAAGGTTCCAACAGAAGAAGTAGAAAACAAAGACATTGGCATCGAGCTGCTCTCCAAGAAGTGCCTCGAGCTTCGCAGCGTTGACATCTCCTACCTCAAGGTAGCATCCCTGAAATTTGTATCAGTCTCTTTGGTCAGTAGTACGATTGGTCTGAAGCCTCTGATGGATTCAATTGAAAATGATTGTGACTTGACCTGTCGAGAATTCAGAAGTGTTCAATCATCTATGAACTGACTAGAATGGGGGACAAATGTGGTAACGCTAGTAGGATGTTGTTTCCTTAAAAACATTAAGATTCTTCTTAGAGTTTAATAGTTTATGAGATTGTTCCCTTGCCAACATAGATGCTATTTCGCGTGTGCGAATCAAGTGAGCTCCAATTTCTTGTCTCTTGTTTTGCAGGTGAGCAATGAATCCCTTAGATCACTCTCCACTCGAGAAGTTGGAGGACATAACAATGGTCTGCTGCTTGTTTACAGACGATGATGGCCTACAGATGCTAAGCGCAGGCAACTCACTGAAGGTAATCACCTTACAGGCATGTAAGTAGAGTTCCTTTGCTCTTTTTACGCTTTTGAGTACTCATGATGCAAATGAATGCCATTTAGCAGTTAAATTCACACTGCCAGTGGTTGTTCACCTTCTGCTTTACACTTGCAGGAGCACTACCAGGAACAGCACCAGCAAAGCAACAACAACAGCAACGAATGCAGTAACCCCACAAACGATAGCAGCAGCAGCAATAACAGCAACAGCCGCAAGAGAGAGGCAGAAGACAACGAAGAAATTTTGCCCCAAAGAAACAGATCAAGGCACAGTTAGCTGCAAACTGATTATAGGAGAATTAACCCCCTTTTTTCTCCCTTTGTTTATTCTTTGTTTTACTTAGCTTTTGGCAAACTAATTTGTAACACAAGAGAATTAACCCCCTTGTTCATATGAACTTGCTATATCATGTGTCATTATCATGCTGTGTAAATGTTGAAAAAAATGTTGTATAAACGTCTTACAAATCGTATCATGTTGAAAAAAAGAGAAAAAACGGCATCCCAGCGTCTGCACACCGGCCACCAGCAAAAAGAGAAAAAAACAGCGGCCAGCCTGCATGCGGCGTGTCTAGCAAAATTGAGAAAAAAGAGAGCAGCCAGCGGTAAGATACGCTGTATGCATGCGCCCAGGGTCCAGCGTCTGCATGCGGCTAGAGGCAAAAATGTCTTTTTAACAACCACTTAACACAACCACTTAACACCGTTAGCCAGTGGATTTGACTGCGGTGTCATATTAGGGATGAAAGTTGAAGTGAGTGTCAAATAGGGAACGAAAAAAATTTCAGAACCAAAAAAAAGAACGACTCATTTTCCCAGTGTCAAATAAGAAATTTTCTCATATACTTATACCTACTAGTACTTCCCAGCGAATCAGCCCGCTCCGGCAGGAATCACGTGCTTCAAACGGATAGCAAATGTATACCTCAACTCATCTAACCTATCTAACCTATACTCTTACAGTCGTATACCACCGTCGCTTTCACAGATCACTGTACATCAACGGTAGCTACAGTGTTATGAACGTTACCGGATCTAACCTATATTTTAGGGTCCGTTTGTATATAGATATTGGAGAACCTGGAATTGCATCGGTGCCAATATCAAATCAGACTGGTATTAAAAATGTATCGTAATATCAAATCTGTTGTTTGGATGTGGATGAATTTGCTGGCTGGAATCTATTGACTTGGTAAATACCAATTTATGTTTGGATGTGCACATCATGAAATTGATTTCTCCCACCTCCCTCACAAATCACACAATCCCAGCAGCGCAAAAGATAGCCGCGATCCCGCGAGTAGTAGTGCCCACCTCGCTGGCGTGGAAGATAGCAGCGAGCGGGCTCCCTCGCGTGGAGTATCCAGGCACCCCGGCGGTGCGGAAGATGGCAGCGAGCAGGCTCCCTCGGCTCGTCGCGAGCAGACTCGGGCACTCCCTCGGCACACGCGGAGGTGGCCGCAAGCGGACTCAGGCTCAGCCCTCGCGGTGCGGAGGAAGGCCACGAGCGAGCTCGGGCACGACCCGACGCGCAGAGGACGCACGAAGAAGCTCGAGCTCGGGCCCTTCCGGATCTGAGGATGGACGCCCACCGCGACAGGTGATGACGGTGGAGAAGGGAGCTCGATGGGGTAGGGGAAGCAGTGACGGGGGAGAAGAAAGCTCGACGCCAGCGCTGAGGAGGGAGCTGCCTCGCCGCAGGTCTCGGTGGATCTGAGGGGCCAGACGAGTGGGGTGGAGGGGGCGTGCGGGGGTGGAGGAGCTCCGACGAGGAGGACGAAGGGGCTGTCTACGAGGGACGGAGGGGCCGGCGCCAGAGTTGGAGACAACGAGAGCCGGAGGGTCTCGGCTCGGCATCGCTTCGGGGTCGTGCTACGTGAAGCGAATGCCACGAGGAATCGCGCTCAGTTTCCAGACTCCAATGCCAAGACCATCGAAACACGTGGAATTTGGGTCTACTATTTCCAATTCCAGTGCCATGGCCTCAATGCAGACATCCAAACGGGGTGTTACAGCTGTATACCACCGTCAGTACGTACCTGTTATGAACATGAACAGTACCAGGTCTAGTAAACACTAACCTATACTCTGAGGCCTTGTTTAGTTCCTCATCTAAAGTTTACTCCCTATCACATCAGATATTTGGACACATGCATGTAGTATTAAATATAGACGAAAAAATAACTAATTGCACAGATCGTGACTAATTTGCGAGATGAATTTTTAAGCCTAATTAGTCCATGATTTGACAATGTGTGCTACAGTAACATGTGCTAATGACGGATTAATTAGGCTTAATAAAATCGTCTGGTGAATTACCGAGGATTTCTGTAATTTGTTTTATTATTACTATCCGAACACTCTTATGTGACACCCCGATATAACATTCAACGTGACATCCCTAAATTTTACTTTTTGAATTTAAACACTACCTTACAGCTGTATACCACCGTCCCTCTCACATATCACTGTACATCGATAGTAGCTAACGGATCCAGCGAACAGTACATACCGTTATGAACATGAACAGTACCTGATCCAGTAAACAGTGCGTACCCTTTACGAACATGAACAGCACTGGATCTAGTAAACAGTGCATACCCGTTACGAACAATCCAAACCCCGTTATGAACAGTACAAACCCGCCGCTTGTTAACAACCGCCACGAACATTACAAACCCGTTACTAGACCAACAAAACCCATTTCTGTTTCATACCTTTATTTTTGCCCCTTCTCTTTCCATGCTAGATAACGAACCAATTCTCCCACCCCTTTCCCCGCGTGCGCGGGGTCTCCCACTAGTTTCCTGAGTTCTTGATATACAAGCTGACATGTTAAGAATAGACAGACAAGCTAACATTTTAAGAATACACACAGTTTTCTATTACTCAAAAGAAAAGAGAAATTACTTGCCCATGGAAAATTTGAGAAGTACGTTTAACTGATTTATGCAATTGCTAGGAAATGCTACGGTGCTCCCTCCGACAACCCAATCCATAATCAAATGGTGGCGACGAGTTCGCGCGGACTGGAACGACTCTCAGTGTTTTGGTATCGACTCACTCTTCGCGCTGATATCCTGGGAAGTATGGAAGCAAAGAAATGTGCGCTGCTTTCATAGATGCTGCTGTTACACCAGCTGACCTCCTCTTAATCATCAGAGTAGAGGCAGAACGCTGGGCTCCGGCTGGAGCAATAGGTCTATCCAGCTTGGCAGCAACGAACGTTGGTGTCGGTGCAAAAAGTGATCAACAAGTAAATATTTGTAGTTTTGCCGTGCGTTGTGATCGGATGTGGCCTAGCATTCAATGACACAGGATTTATACTGGTTCAGGTAACGTGCCCTACGTCCAGTTTCAGTCGGTCGGTGACTTTATTCCTAAGCCTAGGTGCTTGAAGTTTGCTGTGGGGTTACAAACGAGTAGGAATAAGAAATGGGGTGTTAAAGGCCCGGTCGGACTCGGAACCGAAGGACCGAGAGTGACAGAGGATCTAACGTGCGCTAAGTATTGGAGCATATGCTCTATGTAGCTTTAGAGTTCTAGAGCTATTGAGCTATTCGAGTTCTCAGGTCCTCGAGTGCTCGAATCATCTAGCTTCTCTTTTTTGAGGAGAGCTAGAAAGCCAGAGAGAGCTTTTTAGGAGAGAGCTCATCCCCTTTTATAGTCGAAGGGGATAGCCTTACAAGTCAGAGAAAGAGAGCGAATGTATACATGTGCTACCTAGTATTATTGCCCACACTGTCGGGTACGAGATGGTCGTCGGCGCCCACAATACTGTCTATGTCCAGATGCATATGGTAGGCTCTACCGTGTTCGCTTGGTATGGCAAACATCGGTGCCTACAATACTGTTTGTGTTCTGACACGCCTAGAAGGTTGCATAGTGCCCATCTGGCATGGCCTGGTGGCACAGTCCTGCAGGTGCGCAAGGTATGGCAGGGTACGGTCCTCGGTATTGCGGTTTGACTTGAGCGCCTTACCTTATCTGCTCTGCCTGATCCCCGGGCCCTCATCGAGCTGGCATCCCCGGTCAATCGTTCCCAATCGGCCCTGACCGTGTCGGTCGGGGAAGAGCCACGAGCAGAGGTCCGACGTATCCCCAGTCGGAAAAGGAAGTTGGAGTCGGACTGTGTCCCCACCTTGGTCAGGCCTTCCGGTTGGGGACCAGATCATTCTCCTAGCTTGTCATTATGTATCTGGGCTGGCTCGGGAGGCGCGCGTTGTCGCTACGCCATCTGCTGGGCCGAGTTTTTGCAGGGAAGCGGGTCCATTGGGGACCCTAGGTTTGTGAACCTAACAGAAGCCCCTGAGCCCTTTTGGGACTTCTGTGAAGTCATGAAGGGGTTGTTTACACTCGTTTCACGAGCGCACCCTATGGGTGTAAGATCATGGGTCACCGTCGGACGAGACAGAGCGCCAACCCAAAGTGTCGGGCGTAGCCGAGGGGTCAGGCGAGATAGAGCGCCAACCCAGGTGTCGGGCACCAACCCAAGCGTCGGGCGCCAACCCAAGTGTCGGGTGATACGGAGCGCCAACCCAAGTGTCAGGCGCGACCGAGGGGTCGGGCGAGACGGAGCGCCAACCCAAGTGTTGGGTGCCAACCCAAGCGTCGGGTGTGGCCGAGGGGTTGAGCGAGACAGAGCGCCAACCCAAGTGTTGGGCGTCAACCCAAGCATCGGGCGTGGCCGAGGGGTCAGGCAAGACGGAGCACCAACCCAAGTGTCGGGCGCCAACCCAAGTGTCAAGCGTGGCCGAGGGGTCGAGCGAGATGGAGCTCCAACCCAAGTGTCGGCAATGGCTGAGGGGTTGGGCGAGATGGAGCACCAACCCAAGTGTCGGGCATGGCCGACGGGTCAGGCGAGACAGAGCGCCAACCCAAGTGTCGGGTGCCAACCCAAGGGTTGGGCGAGACAGAGCGCCAACCCAAGTGTCGGGCGTTAACCCAAGTGTCAGGAGAGACGGAGCGCCAACCCAAGTGTCGAGCGCCAAGCCAAGCGTCGGGCGCAGCCGAGGAGTCAGGCGAGACGGAGCGCCCACCCAAGTGTCAGGCGCCAACCCAAGTGTCGGGCATGGCCGAGGGGTCGGGTGAGATGGAGCACCAACCCAAGTGTCAGGCGCCAACCCAAGTGTTGGGCGTGGCTGAGGGGTCGGGCAAGACGGAGTGCCAACCCAAGTGTCGGGCGAGACGGAGCGCCAACCCAAGTGTCGGGCGCCAACCCAATCATCGGGCGTGGCCGAGGGGTCGGGCGAGATGGAGCACCAACCCAAGTGTCGG